CTTATAATTTTCTTTGTTGGCAGAGTTTAAAATAGCTTGTGCCAGAACTATTTAGGGCGCAAGAAATTTCTCTGCTATTTTTCATTAATTTTCCTTTATGATATTGTTCTTCCACAGAATTTTGTGGAAAATTGTTGTAAGTATAAAAAAAATTTTAACTTGTCACCTGTTTGATTTTATATGTGATAACTTTTTGGTTTTATTAAGAAGCTTTTTGGCAGCATTTTCAGCTGATCTATTTCTGCCTTGTATTTGATTCTTGCTGAATCTGCTAAATTCTGTTTTATTCTTGTTTTTACTCTTTTTCTACTTCCACTAATAATGTGCTTCTAAAATAAAATAATGTGCTTCTGTTTATCAAAGTTATAACACCTGTAGCCAATTATGTACAACTACCTTTTTTAATGATCAAATCCTCTGAGTCCATGATATCACTTAACGTTCAATATGGAATCTATCTAACAACTGAACACACCTAACATTTGATTGAACTTGTAATTTGACCATGTTTAATGTTGTCATCTTTGGTTTACCTTAAAATCTTGTCAAAGATATTTTTTGCATAGATTTAATATTTCAGCTATGATAAAATCATCTGGAAATGTTTTTTATATAGTAGCATTATTGTTTTTATAGGTCATTATTACAGTATGCACATGACAAGACCTCAATAAATGTCAGATGTACTTCTATCCAAACTATGGAAAACATTGTTTACTTCAATGTCATAATTTAATTTTTAATTTTTGTTTATGATAATAATAAGTAGTTTATAACAAATGTTTAAGTATTTGCCAGCAGGGCAACTAACGAAGCTCCACTATGATAAATGTCAGTTCATTTTTTCTTGTAATAAACATTCAGAGAAATATTTATGTAGGTGTTTTTTAAAGTTGTTGGATGATGCGGCAAGTATCTTTATAACCAATATTAGTGTTGTGTTGTCGGCAAACAGCTTACAAACCTGACAAGTGAGGCCTTATTATTATTAAGTGAGGCATTTTGTTAATAAAGATCACAAATAGGAGAGGCTCAGTACAGAACCTTGGGAAACTCCACTGAGGACCTCTTACCAATCAGAGAAGTACTCACTCTTTACAACTCTATGCCTGCGACCAGTTAAGAATGCTTCTATCCATCCACAGGTACTTGAGTTGAAGCCATATGTGTGTAATTTGACAATTAGAAGTCTATAACTAACCTTATTAAAAGCTTTACAAAATCAATAGGAATCATGATAATTTCTAGACAAGATTCAAGCGCTATGAGGATGATATCAAAGGTTTCGATCAAGTTCGTCATGCACCATTTTCCTGGTACAAATCCATGTTGATTGATGTCAAGCAAGTTCTGATCAATCATATGTTTGAGCATACAATCTCGAATTAAGCACTCCATCACCTTGCAAGGAACAAAAGTGTGTGAGATTGGACGGTAGTTTGCTGGGTTTGTCCTGCTACGTTTCTTAAGATAGGTGTTATGTTGGAATATAGAGTCAAATAAAAATAAACATTTTAATTTGACTCTATATTTGATTCAGGGAGAGACCTCAAATTTGAATAAGTAGAGGCCTTTAAGCATAGAGTTAAGGGTAAGGTAACCCTTTTGTTTTTTTCAAGGATTACCAATCAGTTTGTTTTTCTTATAAGATTGGAACAAATTTTCGAATTTGTAATATATTTGATAAAATTTTTATTGTCTTTGATATGAATATTTTTATATTTTTACATTTCAATTTTTCCCAACTAAGTAGTAAAGTTAGACTGCAGAATGAAAAGGATAAACAAAATTAAAAAGATCTACATCTATTTTATTTCAGAACTGACTTCAATCAATGCTGTAAATGTATAGATAACTATTTATACTATTATAATTATAAACTATTACAATTATATAATATTATAATTATACACTATAAAAATATATACTTTTATAATTATACTGAACGCTTTTGCGCTCAAGTCAGAGTTCCTGCACTAAAGCTGTGTACAATACATCTACTGGTGTTCGATTATGAAACATGTCTTTTTAAATATCTAGGTGTTCTAATAGTTTTGTTGTACAGCTCATGCTTTTCATAAAGCTATGTTTTTTTTTTAAAGTAAATTTTTTTTTTATCAGGTGTTGCATAATACAAATAGCTATTATTCTTTTCAACACTTTACATGGTATTGAAGATAAAGAAACTGGTCTGTAGTTTGATGCTTTTAATTTGTTTCCTTTTGTTAAAAAGTAACATTACATTTTGCTTTTTTCTACATATCTGATAGAGTACCTGTTTCAATTGATTTTTTGGACACTAAATATAATTATATGATTTTTTGGACACTAAATATGAGTATGATATTGACAAGTTGCATTCTTTTAAAACATAAAGAGGAACAAAATCAAAACCGACTGATTTTAACGAGTGCCTGTTAAAGGCACTGCTCTTTAGAGCAGTGCCTTTAACAGGCACTCGTGTAACTCGTCATTCAATTAAGTCTCATTTTTTCATTGTGACTGTTCCTAAGTGCTCTAAAAATTCTTATTTGTCTAGGTTTTTTCTTTGAACATCAGTTCTTTGGAATTTGCTTCCTTCATCTTGTTTTCCTGATTCATATAATTTACAATATTTTAAGTTGTCTGTCAATCGTTATCTTGGTCTATAAACTTCCTCTTTTCTCTTCTAGTTGCTTCCAACTCTAATAGTGGTTGCTTGCAGCCTTGTTGGAAGCAAAGATGTTGAAAAAATAAATAAATTATGATTTCACCATTTCCATTTTCCAGAGCTCAAATTTAAGTTTAAGCACTGATTTCTTCTCATTGATATTCTTATAAAGCAATTTAAGATTTGATTTGAATTCGCTAGCTACAGTACTTTCTAATCGTTTCATAATGTTCTTCAAACAATTTTTTATTCTAGTTTTGAACTTATTATATTCAGTTTTTTTTTATTTTTTATTCAAGCCATTATGTTTGTTAGAAAGTTTTTTATTGTTTTTAATTTTTATTTTATGTTTCAATTCAGGAGTAACCTATTTGTTTTTGTTCCTTCTATTTTGATAATTAAATCTTGGGATAAATAGTTCAGTTGCATAATTGTAATGATACAAAAATAAATCATACATTTCATTCATAGATTTACTTTACTTTTAAATCCATTTTCCCAATATACATTATTAAAATGATTTTTTAATTTTTCCTTTTTTATATAATTTTGTTGTGTTTGTTAGAAATTTTATGATCATTTATTAGATAACAACACTTTAATTTAGAGATATTTAGATAAATTACATATACCAAGTGAAATTTATAAAATGTTCTAAAAAAAATTTATAAAATAAAAATATTAAACTTTGTTATGTATAGCAATTAAAAATTGAAAATCAATGACTAATAAATCTAACTTTCTTTTTTATATTTAATGTTTATGGTTTCAAGCTTGTGTGATTTAAACACGGTTCTCTAATGACATTTCATTATTTAAATATGATGTGGGTTAAATACAACATTAAAATCAGAGTTTTCTTTTTTTTAGGTAAGTTGTCTTTACCAAGACTAAGAAGCTGCCAATGGATTACATATTGCATCTAAATCATGTATTTTAAAATATATTGCTATTTAGAAATATCGAAATGCATTACATATTGCAACTGAAATTGGTAACATGGACATTATTGAACTGCTCATTGAGAAATGCCATATTGATATAAATGAGCTATCTAAGGTATGACGATGATAATGATGATGATGATGATGATAACAATGATGATGATGATGATGATGATGATGATAATGATGATGATGATGATGATGATGATGATGATGATGATGATGATGATGATGATGATGATATGATGATGATTTCTTTTTGATAGGATGGAAGTACTTTAGTTCATTTAGCAGCAAAGTCTGGACATGTTCAAGCAATGATTTATTTTATTCAAAAAGGTATTGCAGTTAAAACTCCAAATAAGGTAGGTTAAAGTTTAGCTAGTACATAAACATTTTTATTTAAAATTTTGAAATAGGCTATGTAAAAATGTAAAAAAAATCAGGTGGTACTAGACAGTACCAAAGAATGGATGTTTGTGAAAAAAACTAGATAAGTAATTTTGAGGCACAATCTTATGATAATATGACAATATCATCTTAAGATATACTTAACATCTAAAGGAGGTTCAACAACATTTGCAGTCCTTTTTTTGACCTTGTCAAAAATGGGCAACATTTCATAAAAGGATGAATAAAAAAATAGTAAAGAATGGAATCAGGAGTAAGAATATGAAAAATACAAATGACTAATCTAAACTCTAAGCTATCACTGAAGTGAGATCAGATTCAAGCTATCTGTTTAAATCTGATTGAATAAAAGATTTTTGAGTATTAAGGAACAGTTTCAGTAATAGAACATAACATTTTTGAGTCATTTAAAATGTTATTTTTTTAATAATATTAAATTCACTTAAAATATTATGAGCTTTGATTGATGGAATGAATAAGTTAAATGACATTTTAAGATAATAGCTTGTTTGAGCTGTGAGTTTGAGTGTTTGAGCATTACAGAATTAGTAGAAAAGAAAAAGAGATCCAATTTTACAACCATGAGAGAGAGGCTCTTGAGAACACTTTTACTAATTGGTACATGAAATATTATTTGGAAAACAAATATTGTTTGGAAAACAAACTGTAGAAAAGTTTAACTGAGAAATAACTTTAGGGTAACTTTAAAATGTTTGTTAAAAGAATACAAAAAAAAAAAAATTATAATTAAAAAATAAATTAAGAACCTGTTTGTCTAAAATTTTAGGATAAGTTCGATATATTTTCAAATACTAATATATTAGTGTCACTAGCAAAGGGATTTCACTTTTCCAAGGATAATATAAAATTATCCTTGGAAAAGTGAAATCCCTTTGCTAGTGACACTAATATATATATATATATATATATATATATATATATATATATATATATATATATATATATATATATATATATATATATATATATATATATATATATATATATATATATATATATATATATATATATATATATATATATATATATATATATATATATATATATATATATAGAAAAGGTGTATACATATATATAAATGCGGTAGTGGTGTAGTGGTAGAGCGCTCGCTTCATAAGCAAGAGGTTCCAAGTTTGATCCCCATGTCCCCTGGCAGTACCATGCTCCACTTGTTTCTTGGCCTTGTTTGACAAAGTTTGTGTTTTGCAATTATAGAGTTGAGAGAGTGTTATAACCACAATTAAGTAACCTCCTCATCTGCAGCCTCCTCGTCTGCAGCCTTCCTGGTCTCGGGGAGGTGAATTAAATTTGAAAAAATTCTCCAAGTTTCTAGAGCTAATTTCAAAAATAAAAGATTTGGAAATATCACAATGATAAAAGGATTATTATTCTTAGAAGATTTGTTCTGGTAAAAAAAGATAAAAAATTATAAAACTGCTCTAGCTCCAAGAATTGAAATTGACTTAAATGAGACTGATGAGAAAATATTTTTGTAATTATGACAAGAAGAAATCTTAACTGTTATTTCACCCACGGTTCTAGGATTTTTTATTAAATCATTTAATTTCAGTAGTTTTTCTCACCTAACAGTTAAAAATTAATGTTTTGTTCTGAAAACTTCTATGATTTGTTCAAAGTATTTTGAAAAGTTCTCAATATTTTTTAAATATTTTTTAGATTTGTATTTTGTATATCTTATTTATTATTATAGTATTATGTTTAGTATCTAATCTTTTTTATAATATTTATATTTTGGGAGCTGCTAGTATTTTTAATAGTTCTTTATATATAAAGTCATTTTCATCAAGAATAAAGTACTCGTTAAAATTATACTAAGATATTTTGCAACATGACAAAAAGTGAAGAATTTTTTATTATGTTTTGTGTATTTGAAGAACAAATGAATTATATATTTTTATTTTCAAAAGTTAAGTTCAAGTTAAAATAATTTTATAAAATGAGCAATATATTTAAAGAAATAATTCTTTTAGGAAGGAGCAGAAGCTCTACATGAAGCATGCAAACAAGGTCATTTAGGAGTTGTAAGAAAACTCATTGCAAATGGAGCAAAAATTGAAAGATGCACTAAAGTAAGTGCAAAACATTTTTTTCAATCTAACCATTTACATATGTGTTATAGGCCTTTAAAATGCTATTTTTGTAAAGATTTTTTTATCTAATCATCATCATCATCATCATCATCATCATCATCATCATCATCATCATCATCATCAGTATGTTGAAATTTTCAATGAATTTTCGGTAATGCAAATTGTGCTTTCATTCCAATTTAACGGCGCGCAGCACTACCGAAATTTGATATTGTGTTATAGTTCATTAGAAAAAATGGGGTGATGGTGAAATTGTTCTTCTGATATGATTTTAAACATTATTAGGATTCAATCACCCTTAAAAATGTGATGATCCCCTTTATAATATAATCCGAAGTATGAAATTTATCATGAAGTTTTTTTTTCGTTAAACCATTTATATATTGTAACTAATTATACTTGAGTTATAACTTACTTGATTTCATGATAAAACTCAAAACAACAAAAAAGTTGTTTTGTAATGGAGTGATAATGGAAATGGGTGATGGTCTCCTTTTTATTTGGTATGAAAGATATTGAAATAATTTACTTTGAAAAAGACGTACACTTTTAACTGTGTAATGGAAATGCTCATAAGGTTGCATTACCGAGAACTTAAAGGTTGCAATACTGATTACTAAAAAAACATCATTTTATGTTTATTTCAAGTCAAAATTTTTGAAAAAAATCTTATCTAAATGATAATCTAGTAGTATTTCATTAGAAAAAAGAATCATTCTCAAAATCTAAATTTTGCTTCAGAGTTTTAGCTAAAATATTCCGGAAAACAAGTTTGTTCTAAACGAAAAACACCTGTTTGAAGGTTGTTTAACTTGATTTACTTTTTTATAAATCAGTTACACAATTTAAATTATTTTTTAAAATTGCAACAGAATATTAAGATATATAATAATAACCCATCTTGCGTGTTTGTGCCAAGAGTGTTGAATAGACGCTGGGAATTGTAATAGTGCTTCCACAGCCAGGGGCGCTGACTTACTAAGACCTAGATGCAATTTGAAGGATTTAATTTTTTGGATCTTATAAGAATGTTAGGACAGATTTGAGCTTAGCATCAATATTTTTCAGGTGCTAAAACCTTTAGCGCAAACATTTGTGCACATTGTACAGTCAGTGAATTAGAAACAGTAAGAGGGCAGTTTTTTTTTTTTCCTAAAGGCTTAAGGGTGGTGTCAACTTTTTAAAAAAAAAGTTTTTATGTAAAACTTAGTATGTGCGCACCAGATTAGATTCATCAAATAAATGTTGGTGAAATAAGTCAGTAAAATTTAGAAATATTGAAAGTTTATTTAGTAGTATTTAAAAAATTTTTACAGCCGCCCCTCTAACTTGTATTAACAACTTATTAAATGAATATTTTAGT